ATCTACAAAAGACTTCCTTAACAATCATTCTACGTTCTATGCACTTTACCCTACTACTACCGGAGACGGTTATCAGTTCACCTGATGGTAGGCGGTCAACTGGGTGTCGTCTGTGATCCAGTCTGGATAGCCGATATTTTTCACGAGGTTGTCGATCTTGCTATAGGCGCCCTTCTTCGAGGCAGCCGTCATCCAGTCGAGCTGGTCGAGCATTGACCGGAATCCTACAACAATTTATTTTGTACCTTCATCACCGTCATTCGAGTTATTATCTCATTAAAGCGGACCTATAAGAATGCTCGAGGCGACCTTGGCGACATTCGCACGCATCTGAGTCCGCGATTCACTTGATGGGTAGACTTTATCGATGAATACTCGTGCATTGGCGTACTGAATAAGTTTCATATAGATCGCTGTCATATTTCAAATTTCACAGACATTGTGAGACTTCAAAAGGAACCCAAAATCTTTCATAAGATATGTTTCATGGGCTCATTTCACTCAGATGACATGGGCGGAGTCACTCGAACCATCGTGAGCTTATCATTGGTAGCTCCTCTTTCCTTCTAATCGTGAAATGCCAAAGAGAAGTGGGTACGTCAATGACAGATAAGCAAGGTGGTCGAAGTAACGCCGCCTAGACAAACTTGCAAGTACCCTTCGCCCTTTTCCCCACCGCTGCCCCCTAATAGGACCTTTTTGATAATAAATGACCTCTAATCTATCTACTCTTACATTTCGTTCCCCTTTAGCACACTTCCCGAAAAAGGACAACAGGTGGGCTATGCACTACAGCAAAAACTCCAAAAGTAGCAAAATTCTACACCTATCCCTAAGTTTCCGATTTCTGCTGGCATAACTCCTTCGAAAGTTGGGGTGTGAACGAGGGCGTAGTAGGAGCGCTGCCGTGGAAGATTTATCACCATCTGTAGAGTGATCAGGTTGACATCATTGTTGGAACAAGGCCGCCCTATCTGCGCTCCAATACGCGCCGCCTCGTACGCCCTATCGTTTACAGGGATCATGACTGTAGATCGCTCTCCGCAATCAAACTCGCCCCCAACCGAACACTTGAATTTAATTCCGACTCGATGTTAATGAGGGCATCTGCTTCATGAAAGCTCTTCCTTTTTCGTCGTCTTCCTGAATTCATTCCTCCGCTCAAGGCTAATAAAGTTCCTCAAGGATTTTTAAGTCAGAATAAGAGCGCGACAGCTTTCATGACATGATAACGTTCCTCAAGATTCAAAGGTGGACAGACGTTTCAGCCTGGATGCACCATTCGACACGCAAATCGTTTTGTCTTTTTCTAAATGATCTGTTTAGCTGCTTCCGCGTCACTATACTGCCTTATGATGATAAGTAAAAGAGAACGGAGGAAGAGTAAACGTGAAAAATTATTACCCAGTGGCAATGTGAAGAAGACGGTCGCATTCCATGCAGCGAGGCGCTCGGTCTAGCGAATAACATAGCACATCGAGTGTGACACCTGCTTCCGACTTTCGAACTCGCGCTCACTACTATACAGATTCTGCAATATGATTTATACATGGTCCTTCTGCATGTTTGTTATTCGCTTTCTTATATGAATCTTTTTATGAATATTTGGAATTTCGTATTTGGGATCAACCATCACGAATGAGTGCTTGTTACACTTTTTTGTGTCAGGCAATCTTAAATGGGTTCGATTGATCCCCGAAAATATGTGAACTTTCAATCGCACTATCAGTTGGATCAAATCTGCATGGACAATTAAGATAGGCCAATGCCGCCTTAACTAGCCAATATTTATACGACACTCAGAATCCCTATGCTCAGGTGAGAGGCTAGCGTATTAGACTTTGCAGGCACGTAGCGTAGCGACTCTTCAGCGGTACACAAGGCAGTGCCTGGAGAGAGAATGTCGATATCGATCTAGTCGTCCGGCTCAGCGGTCAACCCCCCACGTCACGCCTAGCGTACGCTAAGCGGCACGCTAGCGTACCACAGCGTTCTTCCAGCGTTCCCAACTCACCACGGCGTTTGCGAGCGTATGGGCACGCGGCTAGGGGAGGAGTCAGAGAGACTATGGGAGAGCTGGAGGGTACAAAACACATCGATTGCGCGTCTCTCACTCGCCCTTAGTCTCTACAATACACATCGCTTCTGCGTCTCCGACGGCCACATAGTCTCTACTATACACATCGATTCCGCGTCTCTGCCGGCCACATAGTCTCTACAATACACAACGATTACGCGTCTCTTACGGCCACATAGTCTCTACTCCCCTGCCGCTGCAAACGCTAGCAAAACGCTGGTGAAACGCTGCATCCTCTCCCCGGCACTGCCGCTGGCGTACGCTGGAAGCGCTACGCTACGCTGCCGCAAAGTATAAACGCAGCCTAAAGTGGGTAGCTTGGCCTTTGTAAATATTCCCATTGATTCTTAAGTACTCAACGAGCATTGCAAACCGCGGAGGTCCATTTGCAGAGGCGTATCACGACAATTTGGTACTTGGTCCGAAACGCTAGCATAAGTGCTATATAGTGGAGGGGGGAGGGGGAAATGGCGAAAAACGGAAGTGAAACGGTCAAAAACCTGAGAAAAGAAAAGCCTTCGTTCTAATGACTGAAAAGCAATTTCGGACGAGTTTCCCGTAGGCATCTTGCCAATAACCGCTACGGTAGGTACGGCTGCATGTATGTACTCATATATCCATGCAGCATCCGGCCGCTTCATACAATCCCTTCTTCGCTTCATATTTTACTTAAGGAATGAAGCAATACGAGCATAAGGTACGGGCGGTCGTTCATTCGTGGGGCCGGCGGGGGCTTCCGGGTCGGTATGTTGCAGCTTGATAGAGCGGTATAAGGGTAACTCCCTTGGAAAAGGCGGTGACCTTACAGATAAGCATCACATCGAATGCCCTAACTTGATTCGGAGTCTACTGAAATTACTCATAGAAATCGAAGGATTGAATGCTAATTAATGGAAAAATGGTAGGGGACATGGGATGCTCCCTTACTCTCACTGAGCATTACCTCCACTTGAGAGGAAAGGATCGAAAGTTTGGTGCATGGATTAGCACGCAGTCATTTCCTACAAGTGCGTCCGAAACCGAAATGGCTTGCTCATGAAGAAGATTGCGGAAGAATTCATTGAAGTGAATACGAAGGAAAACGGGAGACCCTGCTGCTGATCTTCAGCATCAGAGAATGTGGAGTATAGAGACGCATAAACGCAGAAACACTCAGAGGTGGGGGCAGAGAGTAGACGATCGCGAGGGATAGAGCCTACAGTGTTGGGAAATATAAACTGGGAAATCGGTTTGCATACAGAGGGGGAGACACTTTTCTTCCTCGACTTTCAAGGCGATATAAGTTACACTTTATTGAATTCTGATTGGACATTTCCACCACCATATTCAACAGCACATTGTACACTATCATGATACTCCGCCACAGCCTTCTGGACGAACGCCATCGAGAGATTCTGCCACGCGACCGTGATTCGGTACCTGAGCGGTCGTTGATTTCTCGGCCGTTGTAGACCACCCTCCTGAGTTCCTTAGATATTCCATCTTCTTCAGGTACTCAACGCCCTTCCATTCCAAGTAGGCGAGAGTTTTTCCAACGCCCTTCGATTCCATGGTGGCACCCAATCCTGTAGCAGTACAAAGTTTCCAAGAAGGTACGGCGACGACATGAAGGGAGGATATTCTCCTCGAGTTGCTCGATGTAACCGTCAGCGCTCACCTTCAGTCCGGGGTCCACGAAGAAAATATCGGTCTTCCCATTCCAGGACTTCCGGTCCATACCATCAACCCGCGCCTTGGCGACTGCGGTGAAGATGATATCCTGGACCGTAGCGATGTCGGAGCTGCTCGATGTTGGAGGTCTTCCAGATCGAGAGTACTGGTCTCCAGGTAGCTGTCCATGGATGACTCCATACAAGAAGTTTCGCAGCTGTTTGGAGGTGACGTGAATTCCATAGGCCTTCTCCAGTCCGGCTGCGATTGGAGATGATATATTTTGGTGTACATGAAGGTGATGGGATGGAATCGTGGAACATCTTGGGTATCTTCCGCCCTGGTACTCGTATCCACGTCTTCTGTCTGGGCTGCGAAAACTTTGCTGATATGTGACTCGGCCGAAGTGTCTTTTTGTCCCCTGTACACTGCTGGTGACACCAGACTGTGTGGCCAAAGTGATGTGACGAGTCCCTGACCATTTTTGAAACTGACTTTTTGAGTAGCGAAGTTGCACGGTATGTGGAGGCCTGCTCATTGTGAGGCAGAGTTCTTTCTAATGGGTAAATGCGAAATGTGTCTCTATGCTAATTTGACTGCTTCTATCAACCTAATTCGATCATTCTAAACGGTAGTTTTTTCAAAGATCTTGAGATCTCTAAAAGGTGTTACCTGATCGAATCCGACGACGTTTTCCAGCTGGTGGGCGTTGGATCCGGAACCGACGCAAGCTACGAGAGTTCTCCTAAAAATTATACGGTTTTGCTCAGAGACTACACAGATAATACTTCTATCATGCTTGCGTAGCTGCCAGAATATAAATTAGGAAAGCCGGACGCACTATTCCGACAGTACTATTTCCAACAACTCCTTGCCCGGAGGGTTATTCAGTGTCCTGATCACGGATATGATACTCGTTTCTGACTCCGACGCCATGTGGCGCCTGCAGGCGCCAGATCGGAGTTATTCACCATCCTGATCACGAACATTACGCTCGTTTCAATGCTGGCACCACTTGGCGCCAAATGGGCGCCATCACTTTTTTCACCAGAATCGATGAAAACTTGCACGCGAGGATTACTTCTCATCCTGATCACGAATATGACCCTGATTTTTGGCGCTGACGCCAATGCTCGGCGCACTGCTAAAGCTGTGCCTGGCGGTAAAGGGATCACCCCTCTTTCCGGGCTCAGCCTTAGCACAGCGCTAAACTGCGATGGTGTTGAAAAATGTCGTTTTCGTGATCAGGGTATCAGTCAACACTATTATGCAAGTTTCGATTTTGGTAAGAATGTGGTTGCGCAAAAACAGCGCCATTCGGCGCGGAAAGACGCCAGCTACAGAAAGGGATCGTCATTCAAGATGCCAAACAACCCTCCCCTCGTATACAAGCTTTCATGAATTTTGGTGAGAAAGGTTATGACGGCAAAATGGCGCCTATCGTCACCAAGTGGCTTCAGCGCCAGAATCGAATGCCGTATTCGGGATCAAAGCACCGAAAACATCTATAGGCAGGGCTTCTTCTGGAGTGATAATAGTGGAATAGTGGACGCCGGGCCGAATTTGGAGGCTTACATATTTTCAGCTTCTGAAGGAACCTCCGACAGAAGAACTTTGTCCGGCCCTCTTGGTACTTAGCTGCGACCCACTTTTGCAGCTGTCGAACTACTCACTCCTCATGTACA